ATTACTGTTTATTATAATCATCATAAATAATCTCTTGGTTCAGTATAAATGTATTTTAATTACTGAAATGAATTATTATGCTTTGGGAATAATAATGATTATTGTGATAATCGGTTATGTGTGTTCAGTAAACTAGAAGGTCATCCTCCATTTTATCCATCCAACGCAGAGGGTATCCAGGGTAAAAGTAAACTGCCATCACACGTCTTTGACTCATGACCAAAGCTTTCTTGCTGAGAGTGGGTGTGTTCTGAGGGGTTTGTTAAAACTAAATTTCCAGCAGCAAAATTTCAGTTCGTGAACCAACCACCATCCTGAGGATAAGGGAATGGCCACCCTGAACCTCCACCTGCTGTTCTGTCACGCCGATAGAATAGCTTTGAATAAACGCACCAGTAACCAGCTGACGCAAAACTCCTTCAGAGTTATTGATTTTAAGTAAGACGCAAAACTCCTTCAGTTAAGCCAAATGCTCGACACTGTGTACCCTGTGACATCTCTGAGCCAGAGGATTGATTCTACTACCGGACTGAGTACCCCGAGGTTGACAATATCCTCAACCTCCGGATCCACACAGAGGGTCGTCTGAATGGATGAGGTAGCACACAGATTGTGTTTGATGCTGTTCTCTCTAAGTAACAACTGAGTTAGCTGCAAAACAAGCATTCACCCAGAACGAGTTCCTCTCTCTGACAGAAACCTTCTGAGAATCCATTCACGCATCCAAGCTCTCATTTCATTTTAGCTTTCCATCCGGTCACAGGTAAAGCTTTTGATACCAAGTTTAATATCAAAGCTGGTAAATTGTCACCCATGAATTGTCATTTTTAATTGTCATCTAAATTGTCATTTCTGAATTGTCGATTCAAATTCTCAAGTTTAAAATTGTTAGTAATAAATTCTTAACTTTTAAACTCTGCTTCATCTTTGAAATGAAACACAGAATGGTGTGTATTTCTGGTTATTGAAAAAGCAAAGATTCCTAACTTCTGATTTAAATAAATAAACTTTTGCTATTAAATCTAATTATCTTAAATTAAATATTAATCTTTGGATTAAATATAGACCAAGGAGGTTGGTGTATGAACTTCTATCGATTATATAAGTATCCTGGATATTTATACATGATATAAGCTTCATATGCTAATGTGCTTGATCATTCTCAGAATCTAAGAACTGATGGCAAACGGTGTTTATTCTAGTATGTAGAAATACACTACATAATTGGCAAGCCAGCCAGTTTTATTCAATAACTGGGCGAGCCAGTTCCTTTTCATAATTAAACATGCTATTTCTGTGTTTTATTTTCAATATTTTACTAAGAACAGGAGTTGTGTCACCTTAATTTTCTTCCTCCGGAAACTTCCGGGAGGAAAGCTTTTTACGGTAACACAGACTCCGGCATAAACATCCGGCAGTTCGCTGACACAGCGTTTACACAGTGATTAATCCACGAGCCTGTGGGACTGTTTAAAGACATCCTAATTGCTAAAGTGAGTGAATGTGTTGTTTGGTTGTGTGTTTGAACGTTTATTCACCATCTAGGTTGACACGTAGTGTCTCCTGAGAGATCAAGGTGGCCGTCGTCCACACATCCCCGCTTAATCCTTTGGGTAAATATTCGGTCTTAAAACCACCGTGTTTTAGCCAAAAACAAGAGTTTAGCTTCAATAGCTTAGCTCGTCTAGGAATCTGGTTGAAGCAGAGCGAAGCATCGGGCCTCGCCTCCAATAACCACATTTCCTTAGCCGATCGATGCTGCCACCTTGTGGCGGTTTTAACACCCGGCTCAATAAAGTTCTTTTCTTTTCTGTGTTTTCACTAATAAGCTTATTTCTCAAAATAAGGTTTCTAGTGCATTATCAATGTCATTCAAAACAAAAATTTCTCCTGTAACAAAGCTCATTTACTAACTACAGATTCAGCTTCCATTATTTTTATAGCAAATTAAGGGACCTGCACATCGTTTTTTAAAATGAGCTCAGAGGAAATGAAACAATTAACATCCCTCATCCTAGAGATGAGAAACCAGTTTCAAATGCGAACTGCTGAGATGAGAGACATCTCTACTCAGCTCTCCAAAATGTGTCAGGAAGTGACAGACATCCAGGTTAAAACAAACGGTCTACAGAGGAAAAGGGTGGTGACTACATGCTCTGCGGGACCTCCCGCCAGATAAACAAGAATCGACATATTCTGATGTTTTACTTGGCTCTGACTTAAAGCAAACACTCTCATCCCGGACTAACAAGCCTGACATAATTTCACAGCACGGTGATGTTATACCAGATTTAAAGCTCTCTGATATTGATCTGCTTCCAGAACAAATCCGGCAAACAGAGGAGTCTCTCCTTCAGGAAACAGAACCACCTGTTCCTGCTACACTGGGGACCGTGTCATCCACTCTGGACGACATATCGGTCCACCCCGTCGTCAAGTCTCCCATAAAGTTCTTGGGACACCTAGTGCCCCAGGAGAAAGCTGGTAAATCTCTGGTGTCGGTCAAGCTGACCTAGAATCTATTCTGCGGCGCACTTCTTGACACAGGTTCGAACTTCACACTGCCCGAGCCATGTTCGATCGCATCTGCATTTCCTGTGGGGGGGTTGGGGGGGGGTTAAGGCCCCCAGACTTCCTCTCATGACTTAATCTTGTCTTCTAGGTTCGATCTCCAAATATCGGTCGGCCCCATGACTCTGACACACCCCGTGTACATCTCTGACCATCAATCAATCAAAACTTTATTAATCCCAGAGGGAAATTAGAGTTTCAGTACACACAATTCAGAGATCAGACATACATGAGCAAGACCCATGACAAGAATTGGTGACTGTGGTCCTTCGCAACACGAGTTGCGCTACCTTTCACCCTTGGCATGGACTTTCTGAGGCGCATTGATGCTTTCATTGATGTGAAGGAGGGAGAGCCCTGGTCAGGGGTTGGTGGACCTTTGCCCGCAGCCCTGCCTCCGGACCTCCACTGTCTCACGGTTGGTAACTCTGAGCAGGTGGGAACACCATGTTAGCCACCTGGTTCAGAACTTTTGCTACCACAGATTCAGCTTCCATCACAGTCACAATCTGTTGATTACTGGAGGAGATCATGCAAAGAAGGATTCTCCAGAGAATCCAGAAAATTATGGACAACCCTGAGCATTCTCTTCACAAGACTGTTCAACAACGGAAGAGTGTCTTCAGTCAGAGGCTTCTACAGTTTCGCTCCAACACTGACCGCTACTGGAGATCCTTCCTGCCAACAGCCATTGTAATATCCAACAACTCTTATTCTGAGCTACTACAGCAATCAATTTCCCTCTGGGATTAATTAAATATTTTTTAATTGAATTTTTCATTCAGACCTATTAATAAATCCCTTACCTACTTATCCTGGAAAAATAGTCTTGTGCTTTATAAAAATAAGCTTCAACAAGCTAGAACTGCTTATTTTTCATTGCTAATTGAAGAGAATAAGAATAATCCAAAATGTCTTTTAAGTACAGTTGCCAAACTTACACAGAATCATAGCTCTGAACCATCTCTTCCCTTAGTCCTCAGCAGCAATGACTTTATGGGATTTTACACAAGTAAAATTAATTCTATTAGAAACAAAATCATTAGCATCCTTCCTAATGCAATTTCTTCTTCCTCAGTAAGTGAGGCAGCATCTGAGGTAACTGTAGAACCTCATCTGTGTTTGAACCGTTTTGATCCAGTCGAGCTTTCAGAGTTATCAAAAATATTAGCTTCATCTAAACCTTCCACTTGCATTTTAGATCCAATCTCAGACGTTACAAAATCACACAATTGAATTCACATTCACTCACTTTTAGTTTAAATGAGTTGAAAGCAAATGCTTATGACTGATACAGATTTGGTAACCAAAGAGTCATTCACAGCAAGATAAACCTCCCTTTCGGAGAAGAAAGTACAAAGAGTCAATGCTCTTCAAGATAGACCTCCATTCGCCGTTGGATTGGGAGAGAAAAAAGACAAGAGGGAAACGGAAGCTCCGTCTTGTTCAGCGCAGTTAAACAACCGTTTAATAAGTCAGAAATAGCACGAAGTGTTTATTGATTTGAATAAAGGACTGGTTTAGCTCACCATAATGTAGAAGGGTAAATATTGTTGCTTTTAAGCTTAATATATAACCTTTACTTAAAACCAATAAGCTGTGATATTCTATATAAATATAGGATATCAACCTTATTGGTCTTTGAATGTTTAATCAGAAGATTCTAGGATTCTTTGGTTTTTCAGTGATCAAACACGCATCATCTTATTTAACTCGTCTTGTTTTCATTTGTTTAGAAAATGAATTTCTTACTTTTTATAAACCTGACTTGTTTGAATTAATAGGAAGTGTGTTTGATCCCTGAAAAAGCAAAGAATCCTAGAATCTTCTGATTAAAAATTCAAAGACCAATAATCCTACATCTGTATAGAATATCACATTTTACTGGGCATGAGTAAAGGTAATATATTAAAAGCAATAATATTTACACCTTCTACAGAGGTGAATAAAAAATGTAGGCTTTATAGTTCCAGACCAACAAAAGCCCATGTTACTCAGAGGTTCAGGTTATGTTATTGACAGAAATAGACAGACATAGACTTACAAATATATAGAAAAATAAAAAACACAGTTTGAAGATTGAAAGGAATTCTCAGCGTAGCACAACCACAAAGTGTAGATTTGAAATTTAACTCACAAAAATTCAACGAAAGCAAAATAGCACGTTCTGGTACCCATCACTGTGCACAACACATTCATGCTGTTATTTTCGCACTTTCATTTGTATTTGTTCCTTTAATTGACTATTATAAACACTCAATAGTTTACTTTGTGGATCGACCTGTTCAGGCTTGTGCTCCTGAGCCCAGGGTCCCTCATTAAAATATGGAATATCAATCCATCCATCCATTTTCGGCCACTTATCCGGGGTCGGGCCGCCGGGGCAGCAGCCTAAGCAGGGAAGCCCAGATGTCCCACACCCTACCTACTTGGGCCAGCTCCAACGGTGGGTATCCCAAGGCATTCTTTGGCCAGCCAAGAGACATAGTCCCTCCAGCGTGTCCTGAGTCTTCCTTTAGGTATCCTCCTGGGTGAACGTGCCTGGAAAACCTCACAAGGAGGCATCAAAATCAGATGCCTGAGCCACCTCAACGGCTCATCTCCATGTGGAGGAGCAGCGGATCTACTACAAGCCTCTCCTAGATGACGGACTTTCTCACCCTATTTCTAAGGGAGAGCCCAGACACCCTGTGGAGAACACTAATTTTGGACATTGTTTCCACGATCTAGTTCTATCAGACACTACCCAAGCTCATGACCATAGATGAGGGTGGGAACATAGATCCACCAATGAAGAGCTTCGCCTTCCGACTCAGCTCTCTTTTCACCACGTTGTGAGGAGAAACCTGCTGACATGTCAGCTACTGAGTCTGGTAGACAGCCCATTAAGTATAAGGGTCTGAAACCTCATTGAGGACGTCAAACTAGCAACCAGGGTGATTTCAACCACTCACAAACTAGATCCATCTTTCCTAAAGAAAAACTTAAAATTTGTTTTGCATTTTTCATTATTTTGTTATTTTATTTCGATTTCATGTTTTCAATTCTATTTAGTTTCAACTGAGCTGTCTTTTACCATTTATTTGATCATTTTAGTAAACAAAGATAAAATTCAATCACTGCCTCCTCGTCTTGAAGTCCTGCTGTGTTAAAAATTAAAGTTAGTTCAATAGTTCAAAAGCTCTGGAGCTTCTCTCCTCTGTGAAGAAAGAACCGAACCAGAGAGGTTCGGACCGAGCTGCTGCAGCAGACTAAAAACCAACATGAACATTATTTAATGATAACACCTCATGGAGAGGTACTGTAATGTCCCACCATGCAGTTATAATATATTCATTCACCCATCAGTACCTGTGTCCATGCTGTCCAGGTCCAGGGGGTGAAGAACACACGATGAATCAGTCCCAGCTGATGGATGATCCTAAAGTGGTAGCAGGTTTTCTTTAGCCGTGTTTAGCTAACAGCTGCAATAGAAACAATGCAGGAGAACGGATTAAGATGCTGCTTCAGAACACCGCAGGAGATTAAAGAGCCAACGCTTTGGTTCTGATTGCTGAGGACAGTTCCAGTCTGGAAACCAGAGTTCAAGGAGTAGAGCTAACCGCCTCAAATATTCTCCTCACACACCGGAACAACAACAAGCTAGCTGAGCTAGCAGCTTCCGGTTACTGCTTCTTCTGGTGGTCGGTGACCAGCGTAAAGGTGCACTACCGCCACCTGCTAGACTCTCTGTGCTCTGTTAAGCTAAAGAAAAAACGAATAATGCATTTTCTAATTTCTACATGTAATCAATTGAATATAATACTATAATTATTATATAGCTATGCTAAAAATATTCTACATACATAAGTAATACACTATTCTAACACAACAGTTGACCTTATTTTATTTAATCTTTATTAAACCAGGCGAGTCGATTGAGACTCATTCTCATTTGTGACGATCTGGCCAAGAGGCAGCAGCAGCAGACTCATAGTTAGCTTGACATCAAAGTCGTTTGTATTTTGGACAGAGAACACAAGTGGTCTGAGAGAAGCTTCTGGAAGCTTTAGAATAGAATGGAGTTCATTGATCCCACAGTGGGGAAATTAACTTGTTACAGCAGCATCAACACTTAAGAGAATAAGTTGAAGAAAAATAAATTAACAAAGGTATGTGTATTTATACACATAGGCAGTAGTCTAGAACTGTGACCTTCGACCACTAAAAACCACAAATAAAAAAGGAAAAAACTTGGGTTCCAACACTATGCAGCATAGTGCAAGAGACAGGTACATACAATGTAAATCTGGTATTGAATGAGTATTGAACACATACTGAATATTGCATTGGTGTTTTTGTGTACCAGGATAATGCCAGTACCAGTTAAACTGAGGAGTTCTACAGAGGGGATGAATGGCCTACGGTAGTGCTCTGTTTTACATCTGGGATGTCTCAGTCTGCCTCTGAAGGAGCTGACCATGGTCTCCTCAGTGGAATGCAGTGGGTGGGAGGGGTTTTGAAGGTCATCTTCCCTAGCATCCTCCTTTCACACGTTTCCTTAACTGAATCCGGTGGGGTGCTCAGAACCAAGCTAGCTTTTTTAACCAGCTTGTTCAGTCTCTTCCTGTCTTGACCAGAACTGCCTGCACCCCAACAGACCACAGTAGAGTGGACAACAGAGCCAACCACAGATTGATAAAATGATTTTAGCAGCTGGAAATTAACTCCAAAGGACCTCAGCCTCCTCAGGAGGTAAAGGTGGCTTTGGCCCTTCTTATAAGAAGCATCTGTGTTGTTGGACCAGTTCAGTTTGCTGTTGAGGCGAATAGCCTGGTACTTGAAGGTATCCACTACCTCAAGGTCTGCTCCCTGGATGTTTACTGGTGAGTGGAGAGGAGTGTTTTTCACATATAAAGCTCTTAACAGTCATGCTCCATCATACATCAGTGATCTGATTGTTCCAAATGTTCCTAACAGAGCACTTAGCTCTCAGACTGCAGGTTTACTGGTGGTTCCCAGAATATCTAAAAATAGGATGGGAGGAAGGTCCCAGCACAAGAAAAATGAAATTCCATATGTTCTGGACTAAAGCTCCGAACACTGAGGACATTCTCACAGGATCACTATCTACCGACTCAGGAAGATCAGCAGCAGGCGTACAACATAGGGCGCAAGCCAAGTACTGAAAACAAGTATGATTACACTATTTCACAGGTCTGACATGTCTTTATTTAAAATCTGTGTTTTATTGGGTTCATAATGGGTTTTCATGAGCTGTAAGCCATAATCATCACAATTATAACAAATAAAGGCTTGACACATCTGGCTTTGCATTTAATGGGTCATAATGGGTATATCTCATTCATCCTTTAAGTCAGCGATTCTTAATTGGGTCCCGACTATTCTCTAGTGTGGGGGTTTGCTTTTCCTCACTCCTGATGCTCCGTGCCTTGGAACTAACCTTTCCTTCCTCTGCTAAGTCCTTAGGGCCTCTGGGATTATTAAAGGACTTGTGGTTTCTGCCAGGACCCCATGTCATTGAAAAAGGGGTTATGTTTCCTCCAGAAATGGCCAGTTTTCCACCTACAGTCTGACCTCTTCAGTATCTGGCCAAATGGAGACATGAGTCTTAACTGGTGCCTTTAATCTGCAAGAAAGATACTGTTGCAAGCTCCCTCTTATCTAAGACTGCTTTGCTTCACAGAAAAAGAAGGATGAACTTTCATAATTAAATCATATAATGAAATGAACAATATGAGTAACTAATCATATAATGAAATGGACATTAGGGTTAAATTAAATGTTTTGATTAATCTGTGCTTAAATTATTGAAGTTGAAATGAATGTTATTATTACTACATTGAAAGATTGATAAGAATGAAATGAAATATATTTAATCAGCGCACTGGCTGGACAAGAAGAAGAAGAGAAAATATCATTTCTATAGCGCTTCTCAAGATAAAAATCACAAAAACAAAAAAAAAGTAAAAATATAAGGAATAATTTAGAAAATGATTAAAAATATATTTAAAAAGAGCAAAAAATAGACAATTGTGATTAAAAAATTTAAGAAAGAGAGAGAGTGAATAGGAAAGAGGGAAATCAGTGGATCCTGAGGAAGATGGAATAGGTGGGGAGAGCAGAACAAGGAGAGGGTGATGAAGGTCACACCAAAGCCAGCTTGAACAAGTGAGTTTTTAGCTGCTTTTTGAAGAGTCCACTGAGTCCACTGATCTCAGGCTCAAGGGGAGAGAGTTCCAGTCTGGGGGCCACAGCAGCAGATGATCTGTCACCTTTGGTCTTTAGCCTGGTGCTGCACAACCAGTAGGCTTTGATCACTGGACCTCAGAGACCTGCTGGGGGTCTAGGGACTAAGAAGTAGAGCCCTGCACTGAAGCCCTAGGCCCTCGGGTCGGCCTGGCCCGAAGGCCCTCGGGCCGGGCTTCGGACCAACGACTGTGTAATTACCTCGGACACGGGCCGGGCGCCTTTATTTTTAATCAAATTCATTTAAAAAATTTTAAACACTTAAACCAGGGGTTGGCAACCTGTTCCCATCAAAGAGCCATTATTACCCATTTCCCACAGTAAAGAAAACACTGGGAGCCACAGCAGCCGCGGCGCTGTGGGCGGGGCCTACCCCCAGACAGCAGAGCGCCGCTCACAACAGGTGACAGCAGCCAGTACAGTTTGCTCGTGTACGTCAAAGTTATCTTTCATAAGACGATAATCAATAAAACGATTTATATAAAATGGATCCAGAAGTTGTAGCCCGTCTCTGCCTACAATATTTTGATATTTTTCACCCTGTTGGTGGTTTTACTGAGCAGGTGCCACTTTTGTCATATGTTTCTTTTTAAAACATGTTCAGACTGTTCAGAATACAAATCCAGGCTCTGTCACGTTTGATTGTTGTAATTAAACTTTGTAGGTGGGGAAGGTCAGAAAAGAATCCGATCAATTTGTTTTTCCCTCATTTACAGTGACAGAGACAACGGCGCAGTGCGCCTGGCTCTGGTGTTAATCAAGTTTAATTTTATCTATTTTCACAAGAAAACAAAACAGTTAAAAGCAGGGCTTGTGTTGACCGGACAGTTCCCGTATTTGACCATTTATTTTGACGGAGAAAGAATAGAAAGAAGTACCCCGACGCATGCAGACGAACTGACATTTTATTCTACGCAAATCGCAGATGTAGCTAAATCGCTCAAGAAAAGATTCCCATCTGAACATCTGAGCTGGACACCGCTCAGTGCAGCTCGCTGTCAGCGCGTACTACATAAGGTACACAGCGAGCTGAAGATGTGGAGAGGGGCTTGGAGCACATCGCAGAACCAGAGCGCATGCGGGAAGGTTCCTCCGACTGAATTCAGGTGGGTTCCAATCATCTTTGATGACCAACAACTCGACCGGATCATGACATACCTGTCGCACCTGCTAGACAACTTCAAAAACAAATCGGTTGAAGTCCTGAGCATGGTCTCTTCTGACCGGATCAGTACATACTGACTGTAATGCTGTCAGAGGTAAGTTACGCACACCACTTTGTAATTAAACAAAAATGTCATTGTCCACAATATTTTAATATTTATGTAATTTACTTGTACATACACAAATATAACCAGGTTACTATTTTGGTACATTAATACAAACTAATAATGAGTGAGGTAGCTTTGAGGTAGATTGTGAGCACAGTTTGAGAGGAGTACATGCTATTCTAGGATAATTGATTTGCTTTATGTGATCCACTTTTATTTTAGACTATCTTTCATCCCTTTTACTAATGAATAAAGACCACTATAGTGGCAAGAAATATTGTAGATTCAAGAAATATTTTAAGAAGGTCCAGTTGTGATCACACAGATGCTAGATCTGGGTAGGAATAGGCAAGGTGAACCAGAGTCTGAAATTAGGACAAATGTCAGTGGAAAATTAGTGAATACGTTATTATAAAGCACGATAAATCTTGAAAAAACTTTTTTAATGAACCGTTTTATGTAACACAGGCATCAGCAAAAGCACTCAAAGGTCCAAGGGCTAACCAGGGCTGAGGCAGTGGAAATGACTGAGGATGGTGAGATGGATGAGAGGTAAGACAATCTGAGTCTCTGAAGATAACTGCAAGAAAAAGATTTTTTGTATGTCTTTGGGAATGGAGAAATATAATACCTGAAAAATTCTTTTTTTTTTTTTGCAGCGAAAAGGCAGAACTTTTCATGAAACTCAGGACAGAAATGGAGAGACATTCAATTACTTGAAGTTCTCTGGAATGTGGGAGAGTAAAGTTTGAGGCTGAATATTTCTGCTTGTTTTTAATTAAGACATGCAAACATCAAAGTAATGTTTGCATAGTTGTGGCTGTTCTATAACTGTGCTACATGTCACTGAGAAAATACAAGCTGTGTTGATGTTTCACAAATCATGGAAAGGTTTCACAAATCCCACACTGTTTCATCTGATCTGCTATTATAGTAGAATAATGTAGAACAGGTTTCAATATAGTGCAGGGGCTGTGCTTCTTGAGCTACAGCTGTTCCAGTGTTGGCCAGATGCTGAAAAACGCATAAATCAGGCTTTGTTGAAGTTTCACAAATCAGGAAAAGGCTTCACAAACCCCACAATGTTTTATTTGATCTGCTATTATTGTAGAATAATCTAGAACAGGTTTGAACAGTGTGGCTGTTGTAGTTTTTGAGCCAGAGCAGATTAAAGATGGACAGAGTAGAGAAATTGGGTGTAATCGCCCTTTAGCCGTTTCCCGAATCGGAATCTGGAATCGGAAGCTAACTTCAGCCTCGTGTGTGGGCGTCGGAACGAGCCACCGCACTGTGAGAACAAATATCCCAGCTCTAAAGCCGATCTTCATCTACGTACGTCACACATCATGTGATCAGGAGGCAGAAAATCCATGTGTTAGCAGATCGTTTTGGGCCGTTGCTGTAAAAACAGTGAGGCTCGAACCGGAAAAGCTTCTGCCGATCACAATTCAACAACGGATTATGAAAAAATGGATAACGCTTGAAACGCGCGGATTGTTCCTGATTTAAGAGGAGAGTCTACTCTTAGTATTGGCATTGGCATTATCCTATCGCGCTGGCATTATCCTATCGCGCAACATTCTGTGACTCTTAAAAATACGAGAGGCACCTGGCTGCAGACCTCCACTGTCATGCTGCTTCCGGTGGAGGCTCCACTGTCAGGACGACCGCCACTGTCAGGACCGGTCAGGACGGGAAATGCACGGGATACATTTCAAAATAAAATGGCAAACATACTTACGATAGTAATTTTTCAAAATGAATTAACGAATGGCAGGGATAGGTTTCAACCAACATCAAACAAAACAAGATTTACTAAATAAATGCCAACTGTATATGAACTATAGATAAATAATTGATAGATTTTACATAATATAAAAAAATGAATGTGTTAGTGAGGAGAGCGATTCAACCGAAACAGCATTCAGGATTTTATTTAGAAATATGACGACCGGTGTTCCGACTATCCCTGCTACTCGTCCATATGTGATGCTTTGGGGAAATCCGCATGTGCAGGCCGATTACTACGTCACAGGCTGTTTACCTGAAGAGACGCGCTAACTCTAGAAGTTGTTATATTACTGCTATGTTTACCTGAGTTAGCTTGTAAATGGCTTGTAAAATATCGTTATTATACTGTAAACAATAAATTTCTCCCATTGTTGACCAACATCCACAGAATTATGAGTCTTTTTCATAAACACAACAAACACTGTATATTTTTGCTAATAATTACACTACAGTTCTGTATTTTTGAGCGATATCACCTATTTAAAGAAAAATGTGCTTAATAAGTGTGTTACTGAACTGTAAACAAGAGCAAAACTATCATAACACGCTGCGGTAGGATGCACGGATAGTCAGAACACCGGAAGTATGTTAGCGTTTTATGTTGAAACCTATAGTGGCCATTCGTTCATTTTGAAAAAGTACAACCCTGTGTATGTTAAATGACAGCTATATACTAACTATAATTGATTGATAGATTTTACGTAACATTTTATATTGAAATGCATCAATTACAACCATAAGTATGTTTGCCGTTTTATTTTGAAATTATCCCGTGCATTTCCCGTTCTGACAGTGGACCCTCCAACGGAAGCAGCCTGACAGTGGAGGTCTGCAGGCAGGAGGTCTTGAAAGTGAAAACGCTGAAAAACATTGGCAGCGAATGGCTTTTCTGATCAGGAAACAGCTGGCAGTGAATGAGTTAAAAGCAGTGTAAAAACACAGAAGTCTAAAATACTTGACACAACTGAACATGGGTCAGTCGGGAGCACAAACACCCACCCCCGAAGCAGAGATCTGACGAAGTACATGTTTGAAAAGTGCAGAGCTTTTTGACCCTAATAGCCTTCACTTTACATTGGTAAAGGCTTACTCGAACACAAAAATACTGCTTGCTTGCAATCATTTAGGTTTTTACTACATGCTATTGCCAGGGAAAGTACACACCGTCACTTTAAATTTGTCCACAGAGCTCACAAACAGAAGGTTTCTATCCTGTGTGGACACTCATGTGCTTGAATAAAAATTTCTTTTGTCCATATCTTTCTCCACAGAACTCACAAGCAAATGGTTTATGTCCTGTGTGGACTCTTATGTGATCGTTTAAATTGGACTTTTGGGTAAATCTTTTTCCACAGAACTCACAGACAAAAGGTTTCTGTCCAGCGTGGACTCTCATGTGAGTGTTTAAATTCCACTTATGGGTAAATCTTTGTCCACAGAGCTCACAGACAAAAGGTTTCTGTCCAGTGTGGACTCCCATGTGAGTGTTTAAATGCGACTTTTGGGTAAATCTTTGTCCACAGAGCTCACAGACAAAAGGTTTCTGTCGTGTGTGGACTCTCATGTGATCATTTAAACCTGACTTACGGGTAAATCTTTTTTCACAGAGCTCGCAAGCAAACTGTTTCTGTCCTGTGTGGATTTTCATGTGAGTGTTTAAAGTTGACTTATGTTTTAATCTTTTTCCACAGAGCTCGCAAGCAAAAGGTTTATGTCCTGTGTGGATTCTCATGTGATCCTTTAAATTTGATTTTCTACTAAATATTTTTCCACAGTCACCACAACTAAATGATTTTAGTTCTTTCTGGACTTTCCTATGTGAGTCTACATGTTGCTTCAGTCTAACCGATTTCTTGTTAACCAAAGGGCTGGAAGACCTTATTGCTGAATGACTGGTTACTCTCACATGTTTCTGGAGAGACTGCTTGTCATGAAATTGTTCACCACACTCAGGACAGCTCAAGGATATGTTGACAGTATTAACATCTAACTCAGAAGACCTTTTCTCATTCCAGTCATGGTCTTCGTCTCCAGTTTCAGACCCAGAGTCTGACATCCCAGGGTCTAGATTCATATCATCATCTCCACTAACTTCAGTCTCTGAAGAATCAGATGTTTGTTCATGAGGGTTCAGATCTAGGTTCCTGCTAGTTCCTGATACTCCACATGTTTCTGCTGTCATCTGGTCAGATGAGCTGCTAGTTGGAACATCTCTGTCTTCTATTTGCTGCTGATGAAGCTGTGAAAACAGACGTTTCTCTTCATCATCCTCACTCTTTATAGAAACAGCACTGAATTGAAAGCTGGCAGAATCAGTCTCCTCCTTCAAATGGAGATGCTCTCCCTTAAGACTGGTCCAGAGTTCCTCCTTTTCCTCCTTTATGTGGAGGTGTTCTGGGTCCTGCTGGTACACACCAGCACTCTGTTCTTCAGGATCTTCTTTAACCTGCACCATCTGTTGAACATCTGTAGGAAACAGAAACACAACGTGAATTACCGACTGCTGTAACTTTAAATTCACACATATGAGAGTTATGTTATTACAGGGGTCTCCAACATGTTGGTCGCGAGCTACCGGTAGCTCTTGAAAGTCGCTGGCCTGGAAGCAGCCAGTGAGCCACCCAGCCTGACTTGTACTTAACAAGGGACGGATTTCTAATTTGATGGCAAGCCTTCCCCGGTTCTCGTAATATCTAATGTAAAATTAGCATTTTGTGGAAGTAAAATAAATCTGATTATTGCACAAATCTATCGGCAAACGTGTTCTACTGGAAATTTGTGGAATGGATTAATTATTCAGGTTGCAGCGCGGGTCCCCATTTCTGATATCAGCGGCTGCAGCTGCAGGTGCTTCTAAAGACGAGGTGACGTCGGTCATACAGACCTGGTTTCAGAAAAACATCCCAATAAAATATTGTGGGCGACTGTAAAGTCATATCTGCGTAAATATGTCATTAAAGCAAATTAAATGCCCTTCGCTTATTAACACGATTAACAGGCTTCCAAAGTCTGGACATCTCCTGTGATTTAGTTTCAACAAACTGCCCTCAACAGTTTCAGCTGATTGTCCCATTTAGGAATAAAACTGCTTTAATGCTTTAATGTTGTCAACAATAAATGCAGCAAAATGTTTATCGTTGACAACAGGTTAATCACTCACAGAAAGTAGATTTGTTATTCATTATCTGAAAGTATCTGATTAGCTAACAAAGAAAATATTTTGTTTAGTTTGATTTTCAGAATCTCACTATCTTCCTTGTATTTTTTTATAATATTTATGTATTGAAATACAGAGAAATCAACTAACATAAGCATATTCACACTTGAAAACATCGTATGGCGGTAGCTCTTCTGTACTTTCATTAAGTAGCTCACGAGCCCAAAAAGGTTGGAGATGCCTGGATTGTGCTTTAAATTGGTGAAATCAGAACTGACTCAAATTACAGGAAATCTCTTTTGAATTGAGAGACTTTTTCTTGGGAGGTGAATAAAAAATGTAGGCTTACTATTTCCAGACCAACAAAAGCCCATGTTACTCTGAGGTTCAGGTTGTTATTGACAAAATAGACAGACGGTTCGCAGCCGAGTGTGAAGCAGCTGGGATGAGAATCAGCTCCTCTAAATATGAGGCCAATCTGTTTTATTTCGATTTCATGTTTTCAATTCTATTTCGTTTCAACTGAGTTGTCTTTTACCATTTCTTTGATCATTTTAGTAAACAAATATAAAATTCAATCACTGCCTCCTCATCTTGAAGTCCTGCTGTGTTAAAAATTAAAGTTAGTTCAATAGCTCAAAAGCTCTGGAGCTTCTCTCCTCTGTGAAGAAAGAACCGAACCAGAGAGGTTTGGACCGAGCTGCTGCAGCAGACTAAAAACCAACATGGACATTATTTAATGATAACACCTCACGGAGAGGTACTGTAATGTCCCACCATGCAGTTATAATATATTCATTCACCCATCAGTACCTGTGTCCATGCTGTCCAGGTCCAGGGGGTGAAGAACACACGATGAATCAGTCCCAGCTGATGGATGATCCTAAAGTGGTAGCAGGTTTTCTTTAGCCGTGTTTAGCTAACAGCTGCAATAGAAACAATGCAGGAGAACGGATTAAGATGCTGCTTCAGAACACCGCAGGAGATTAAAGATCCAACGCTTTGGTTCTGATCAGCTGAGGACAGTTCCAGTCTGGAAAAGAGGACCTTTGGTCACCAGAGTTAACGGAGTAGAGCTAACCGCCTCAAATATTCTCCTCAAATATTCTCCTCACACACCAGAACAACAACAAGCTAACTGAGCTAGCAGCTTCCGGTTACTGCTTCTTCTGGTGGTCGGTGACCAGCGTAGAGGTGCACTACCGCCACCTGCTGGACTGTCTGAGCTCTGATAAGCTAAAGAAAAGACGAACCCCCAACAGACGATGGCTGAAGAGATTACACTCTCAACAACAGACTTGTAGAAGATCTGCAGCATCTTGCTACAGACATTGAAGGACCTAAGTGTCCTCAAGAAGTGCAGTCTGCTTTGTCCCTTCTTGTAAATGGCTTTGCTGTTCTTTCTCCAGTCCAGTCTGTTGTCCAGGTGAACTCCAAGGTATTTGTATTCCTCAACCACCTCCACTTCTTCTCCCATGATGGAAACAGTGGTTGACTCCACCCTGTTTCTTCTGAAGTCTAAAATCATCTCCTTTGTTTAGTTCACGTTCAAGGTCAGACGATTGTTTCCACACCATGCCACAAAGCGCTCCACCAGCTCACTGTACTCAGCTTCCTGTCCATCTCTGATACACCCGACGACTGCAGAGTCATCTGAGTATTTCTGTAGATGACAGGTCTCTGATTTGTACTGGAAGTCTGAGGTGTAGAGGGTGAAAAGGAATGGTGAGAGTACAGTCCCCTGTGGTGCTCCAATGTTACTGATCGCCTGGTTTGATGTGCAGTTCTTCAGCCTCACAATCTGTGGTCTGTTTGTCAGGTAGTCTTTATTCCAGGCGATAGTTGAGGCCCCCACCTGTGTCGTCTGGAGTTTCTGGCAAAATACATCAGGCTGGATTGTGTTAAATGCACTGGAGAAATCAAAGAATATGACCCTGACAGTGCTGCCTGCTTTGTCCAGATGACAGTGGATTGGCTGAAGCAGCTGGATGATGGCATCTTCAACTCCAACTCCATAGCGATAAGCAAACTGCAGCGGGTCCTGATATGTTCTAGTTTGCTTATTCAGGTGGACCAACAGGAATCTCTCCAGGACCTTCATGATGTGGGATGTCAGGGAAACCGGTCTGTAGTCATCACTGACTGATGGGCGAGTTTTCTTTGGAACTGGAACAAGGCAGGATGTCTTCCACATGACTGGAACCTTCTCCTGGGCCAGGCTGAGGTTGAAGAGGTGCTGCAGAATCCCACAGAGCTGCTATGCACAGGCCTTCAGTACTCTGGGGCTGACACCATCTGGACCTGCAGCCTTGTTCCTGTTCAGTTTCTCCAGCTGCCTCTTCACCTGACTTCTAGAGACAAATAGATGGGAGGGGGAGGTAAATGGGGCAGCAGCATCTCCTGACTTGGTTGAAGACAGATTTATAGAACCAGAAGAGTCCATTACTGCATTAGAGGACAAAAGAGCTGGTGTGTGACAGGAAAATGTTGGATCAGAGGAGGATGGGATGTCTGATTGGCTGGGGACAGGCGAGGAGGATGCTGGGTTTGTTCCTGAACTGAACCTATTGAAGAACTTGTTCAGTTCATTGGCTGTGTCCAGGCTGCCATCTGTGCAAAATAATTAATGGGTCGTAATGGGTATATCTCATTCATCCTTTAAGTCAGTGATTCTTAATTGGGTCCAGGCCCAACCATGGGCCCTGTGCAACACCTTGTGGGCCACAAAATAATTTAATTAATTTTGGAGTTCAGTCAGCCACTCTAGGCCGTTATAGTGTGGGCATTATGGAGACACTTTTGAAAAAAAAAATTCAGGTGACTGGTGGTAGAGCTCCACAGAAGTCAAAATATGTGTGCAAGTACAACCCTGTCTTAATTTTCTACACATTTATGATGAATGAAGGGAGTGAGGCAGAGCTGAGAGCCCAGTGGGTGGAGTGTGGACTAAAACTGTCAAATGAAACGCTGAAGCCATCCAAACTAAAACAGCACCTTGAAACCAAACATCCAGCGCTAGTGGAGAAACCGCTCAAAAATTTCAAACGAAAAGAATATGGACTACAGATTCCTGCTTCCTGCCTACAGATTCCGCTAAGTGGAATTATCATTGCCTGTTTGGAATTATTACTTTGAATTTGGGATTACCATTGACTATTCTCTGGTGTGGGGGTTTGCTTTTCCTCACTGCTGATGCTCCGTGCCTTGTAACTAACCTTTCCTTCTTCTGCTAAGTCCTTAGGGCCTCTGGGATTATTCAACGACTCGTGGTTTCTGCCAGGACCCCGTGTCCTTGAAAAGATGGGTTATATTTCCTCCAGAAATGGTCAGTTTTCCACCTACAGTCTGACCTCTTCAGTATCTGGCCATATGGAGACATGAGTCTTAACTGGTGAATTTAATCTGCAAGAAAGATACTGTTGCAAGCTCCCTCTTATCTAAGACTGCTTTGCTTCACAGAAAAAGAAGGATGAACTTTCATAATTAAATCACATAATGAAATGAACAATATGAGTAACTAATCACATAATGAGGGTTAAATGAAATGGAAAGTTTTGATTAATCTGTGCTTAAATGATTGAAGTTGAAATGAATATTATTATTACTACATTGAAAGATTGATAAGGATGAAATGAAATATATGACCCATATATTTAATCAGCGCACTGACTGGACAAGAAGAAGAAGAAAATATCATTTCTATAGCGCCTCTCAAGATAAAAATCACGAGGCGCTTCACAAAAACAAAAAATGTAAAAATATAAAAAATAATTTAGAAAATGATAAAAAAAAATATATTTAAAATGAGCAAAAAATAAACAGTTGTGATTAAAAAATGTAAAGAAAGAGAGAGAGTGAATAGGAAAGAGGGAAATCAGTGGATCCTGAGGAAGGGGGAATAGGTGGGGAGAGCAGAACAAGGAGAGAGTGGTGATGAAGGTCATACAAAAGCCAGCCTGAACAAGTGAGTTTTTAGCTGCTTTTTGAAGAGTCCACTGACTCCACTGATCTCAGGCTCAGGGGGAGAGAGTTCCAGAGTCTGGGGGCCACAGCAGCAGATGATCTGTCACCTTTGTTCTTTAGCCTGGTGCTGCACAACCAGTAGGCTTTGATCACTGGACTTCAGGGACCTGCTGGGGGTGTAGGGACTAAGAAGATCACCAATGTAAGATGGTGCTTGTCCATGTAAGGCCCTATAGACCAGAACCAGGATCTTGAAATGAACCCTGAAGTTGTCTGGCAACCAATGAAGCTGGAGGAGAAGCGGGGTGATGTGGGTGTGTTTGGAGGACTTGGTCAGAAGCCGAGCACAGGCATTCTGAACCACCTGTAGACGGTTCAGGGAGGTTCTGCTCAGACACGTGAAAAGACAGTTGCAGTAGTCTACGCGTGAGGAGATGAAGGTGTGGATAACTGTCTCAAGTTCAGAGCGGGACAGAATGGGACTCAGCTTAGCAATGTTCCTGAGATGGAAGAAGGAAGAGCGAACAAGAGAACTGACATGAGAATCCAGGGTGAGAGCTGGGTCAAAGGTCACACCAAGATTCCTGACAGAAGGTTTGGTGTGAGTAGCAAGCTGACCAAGAGAGTCTCTGACTTTGGGAACCAGCTTGTCTGGGGCACAGATGAGGATCTCAGTCTTATCTTCATTCAGCTGTAGAAAGCTCCCAGCCACCCAGGTTTTGATAGTCTAAGCAGGAGTGTAGCAGCTGCAGCTTAGACATCTCATGGGGCTTAAAGGAGATGTACAGTTGGATGTCATCTGCGTAAAGATGGTAGGAGATTCCTTTGAAGGAGCTCAGGATGTGCTGAAGAGGAAGCAGATAGAGGAGGAAGAGCAGAGGTCCCAGCGCAGAACCTTGTGGGACACCATGGGTAAGAGAGGTGGTGGAGGACCTAAACTTGGAGACGGCCACAGAAAAGGAGCGCTCAGAAAGATAAGAGGAGAACCACTCCAGAACAGTTCCTGATAGGTCTACCCAGTCTCTCAGCCTCTCCAGTAGCAGTTGATGGTTAACAGTGTCAACGGCTGCAGTCAGGTCCAGCAGGACCAGAACAGAACAGTCCCCTGCATCACTGTGAGTGAGAAGGTCATTAGAGACCCTAAGAAGAGCTGTTTCAGTAGAATGAGCTCTACGAAAACCTGACTGGAAGCTACCATAGATGTTATGTTCATCAAGAGCAGCTGTGAGTTGTTTAGCCACAACCTTTTCCAAGATCTTGGAGATGAATGGAAGTTTAGAGATGGGTCTGAAGCTGCTATGGAGAGAGGGGTCAAGACTCGGTTTTTAAAGAAGCAGGTGTATTACAGTGTTCTTAAAGTAAGCAGGGAACTGACCAGAAACCAGAGAAGCATTAATTATAGAGATCACGCTGAGACCGATGGACTGAAAAGCACTTTTAAACAAAGATGAGGGTAAGATGTCGAGGGGGCATGCAGAGGTCTTCATAGAGTTAACTAGTTTGGTTAACTCAGGCAAAGAAACAGGAGCAAAGCTATCTAGGATGATGGGCCTAGTTGGAGTCGGGAGAAGCAGCGATAAGGCTGAAGGAGAGATGCTAGATCTAATCTTATTGACTTTGTCCACAAAGAAAGACAAAAGGTTCTCATAGGCTGTAACAGAGTGGATGGAGGCTGTAGGAGAGGCAGGAGAGACGATGCTGCTGATGGTGTTAAACAGCACCTTGGGGTTCCCTTTGCTCTGGGACACCAGGTTGGAAAAATAGGAAACCCTGACATCTCTGTCTGCAGAGTTAAAGGATGTCAGAAGATCCTTTAGGTGCAGCAGATGGACGTGGAGATGGGTTTTCTTCCACAAGCGCTCAATTTTTCTGCATTGGCGCTTCAAGCTGCGAAGGCTTAGCCTGGCAAGCCAGACTAAGTAAATGGATTATTTAGTCTGGCCATGCTCCATTGACGGCTCTCGGTTGTGGGGCGGGTTCTACCGTTGTCTTTCAAATGATCTCCGCATTGCACTGGACAATGAATGTGACATACTCTTGTTTCACTCTGTTGCATCATCCCACCCACCAGGCATATAGAGTGCCCTGATTGGCCCACAAAGCGGATAAAGCTCTGTGATTTGTTCACTAAGCAGATAGAGCACTAAGATTGGCCCACCATTATGGACCAATCACAGCTCTTTATGTGTT